TGGATATTTTGTATATAAAACTAATGTTCGTTGACAATCAGTATTTTTTGTTTTTATCTTAATTATCTAAATAATTCAAAATTAAATTCTTTACGGTCTTGTTTATACGTCTTTAAGTGTATATATTTCTGTTTTAAGTTATAAATGATCTCGCTAGTAAACCACCTGGGATAATTATACTGATTGTTATAGGATGAATTGCTTTTAAGGGGAACATATAAATTTATACAATCGTACAGAGTCTGGTAAATTTGCACGCTAGAAACAACATCTTCATTTCCCAACACGTCGGACCAATCTATTGCGACCGTAGAATACAACGCCTCAAAGTTAGCTCTACGCCAGTTCCATTCTTGACGAAGACTTCTTCGCATGAAAGAAGTACGCTTGTTTTGCGCTGGTGGTACCGCACCTCTCTCCAATGCTACTGTTATATCGAGAATAGAATGATATTCGTCTCACTAATAGCTTAATAATAGAAAAAAAAGAAAAAAAAAATAACCGAGCTCAGGATTGTAGCACCGATCATTTGGTGTCGACCACAAAACTTACACACGTTACAAAATTAATTAATAAAACAGGTGTTGTCTTTAAGACGTACCTAGTCATGAAGGACTTTTACGTGTTCACATTTTTTTAGGTTTCATTTCTATCGCATGTGAACAGCACATGTCCGGTTTTTATTATTATAGGGACGGCTCACCAGATGGTAAGTGATAACCGCCCATAGACATCTATGAAACACCAATCCCCGCAGCATGAGCACCACAATGTACGTTATATCACGTTTTTTATCGCGTCTCACTGTCAAACTCCAAAGCAATTTGACAATTAAGCACCATAAAAACGCGTTCTTTAACATATCGCTTTGCTCATGCTGATGCCGGCCTTTAACGCTAATTTGCAGTTATAATAATAATAGTTTATTTGCTCTAAAACACGGTATCATGAGTTGGGTCTTATTAAGAAATGTTCACATGTTTTACCATGTAAGTCTAGCATGCAAATACAAATTGAATTTAATTTAAAGTTCAATAACATGTCAATAAGATAAAATAAAACAATCATTTAAAAATGTGTCAAATATTCATAACTTGTAAAAACGGAGCATTATAAATTGAATAAAATAGAGGTTAATATTGTAAGTGAATAGTATTAATATACTACCTAATGGTCCACTCTTCACTTGAGCCATCGAGCTCATATATTTTACTGCCAAACCAAGGCTAAACGCCTATGAAAATTTAAAGAGCAACGTGTGTCCACTTGGTGAAACTCAAAATTAATATCTCTTATTTTTCATCATCTGGACTCGCCAAGATTTTTATGCGTGTCCACATACATTGAAGCAAGCTTGCTTGATTTTAAGTTTGTTAGGCAAGCTTGCTTGATTTTAAGTTTCGTACTTCTTGACTATCAACGGGCCATAGAAATAACGAGCAGTCTGTCGGATTTAGGACAGGTCTGCCTTGTGTAAGGTTTGCTCCAGCCACTTTACCTACTAATGGGAAAAATCGTTATAGTATTTGCTATTTTGAGTGCATCGTCACAAATAGTATTTTTAATTTTTTATTTAATATTCTGTAAATGTCTATAAGGCTGCTTGTTTGTTCTATCCTTTATAATTTTCCACATTGTTATTGTTTATTTGTAGTGTTTTTCATTCGGCTTATATATTATAGTTTTTTAGACCTCATGACTACTTTTTTTTTATATTTTTTCATATTTTTTTAAAGTGAGATTGAAGTATGGGGTTAGCAATTTGTGATAAAAGTAATTTTAAATGACGCACAAGAACGTTTAATTCCACTGATAAGCCAGCCTTCAAAGGTGTTCCTTTTATTTTTAATTCGTTTCCTAGGTATAACTATCTAATAAAATTCTTATTGTTGTATGAAAGGAATTGTAATTTTCATTTACGTCATGGCTCTCTTTTATTATCTCATCCCACTTAATATTTTTTAGTTCCAATTTAAAATTAAATATAGTTGGCTAAAGATCCTTTTAATAGGTCCACCATGTATTAAAAGATTTTATTGAGGTCTCATTTAGCGATATAAGGACTGTTTTGTGATCAGAAAATCCATCGTTTTGGACTGAAACGATCACTTGTTTATGTCGGAAGTTAGTGAAAACCAAGTCTAGACAATTAGAGCTATTTATAGTAACACGTGTTGGGTCCTTGTTTATTTGATCTAAATTGTATGAAAACATTAGTTCCAGAAGAGTTTTTTTAGTACCTTTTGTTATAACATCCTCAGGAGCTTAATGGCGCAAGTGGTTAGCGCGTTCGGCTACGATCGTTGAAGTTAAGCAACTTTCGCAGTGGTCGGTCATTAGATGGGTGACTAAAAATTTACTATCTCGAGCTCCTCCATGCTTCGGAAGGCACGTTAAGCCGTTGGTCCCGGCTGCATCTGCAGTCGTTAGCACCCACCAATCCGCACTGGGCCTGCGTGGTGGGTCATGGCGCAATCTCCCTATTCCATCCATAGGGAAGGCCTGTGCCCCAGCAGTGGCGACATTAATAGGCTGATGATGATGATGATGTTGTAACATCTAAATTAGTCTCCTACATTAATACTGTCGTTACTCTTATGTTTAATCTTTAGAAAATCCATAAGCGTTTCCAAGCGATGAAAAATATATCATACTCTCTATTGCTATTTGGCCAAAACATAACAACTAAAAGTAAATTATTGAGGCTTGTGATTTTAACAGCGCATACTTCAAATACATATTCTATAGAAATACTTGTAATATCCATCTGTTCGCAAAATGATGATGATGAAAATGATGATTTGCCAAATAGACCTTCTGCTATACATCTGAGAGTTGGACGTGTTGCTACATGGACAGTTTGCTGATGAGGTTTACTGCTTACTTGACGTATTGCGCTGTTGGACGTTTTTCTACTTAGAACTTCTGTGTGTGAAGCAAAAAAAAAAAGAGTTTCACCAACTGGATACCCGTAGATCCAGTCTCATAGATCGAGTTGGCGAATAACCCACAAAAAGGTATATTGTTTTTTCTTAATTTACTTAGTATTTTAAAAACAAGCAGATACAATGTATAGTGAAAACAACGAATATGTAACAGCCAAAAATTATAACCGTACAAAACCATTTTTGATTGCTACAAAAAAAAGTGTAAGTTTAACGGCTGTATCGTTGTTCATGTTAATTCAGAAGCTAAGAAGTTTTTTCCATTTTGGGTAAAGAATTCTTAAAAAGACCGCGGAATAGTTAGTTTGTTAGCAAGCCGGATATAGTTTGATATGACAAAACTACTTTTACTGTAAAAATCCAATTAAAAATCAGACAAATGTGCTTTTCATTTAAGTTACGGGCTTGGTCATAACTTCATTTGTCTGATTTTGCAGTCTAAAGTTTGGTTTCACTCGTTCAAAGACTTATGACGGTAACATACCTATATTTAACATGTTTCTTGCTTGTTAGCTGTGTTTAGTTTAACCTTATAGGTTGAACGAACACAAATTATGAGTTTGAAATATTTTAAAAAGTATTTGAATAAACCCAAAAAATATAGTCATGTTACGATTTCATCATTTCATGTCCTTGTGTGGTTGGCAGTGGCAGAGGTTGAAACGTGCGATACCATGTCACATGCATCAGTATCTGATACAGGAGATGGAAACACCATATTTGGGTTTTCTTGAGTTCAAGTATTTCGAAACAATAGTGGTAGACTTCCACCCTGTCGCTGAATTCGTTTACCTCTTAACTTGCCAATTTTTAGACTTACTATCAGCGCCGGCCCTAGACTTTGATCGAGGTAGAACCTAGATATTATATTGTCTGACATCGTTCTTTGGACGGAGCCTTTACTTGACGTCTATTTTACAAAGAATAATTGCTCTTGACTTCATGTGCTAGAGGAGGCTAAACCTCCTTAAATGAGGATTATTTAGTCAATATAATGGAACAGGTACCTAAGTAATACAAAAAAGTTATTAAATTTATCAAGTGATATTTTTATGTGAAAATTTCATTGCGGCGGCTGTAAATCCGATTGTTGAGTGGCGACTCTCAATTACAAATACCAACAAGCTTGAACAATGAGCTTACATCGTAATTTGGGAGCATTTGTGAGAGTTACGCTGGTCTTCACCAAGCTCTTAAGTTCAGTTAGGTTTTCTTATCACATAATATCTGTTTGTTTTTTTCTTTTAAAAACTAACTATGTTTCACATTTGCCGGGTGCCTCGCCACGGTTCACTTTTCCGTTGTAGAGTTTGTTATAAATAGTAGTTGTAAATTGATGAACACCGGCTGCACGCACGAAAAAGTGTGTCGGCATGTCACGTTATGTCACGAGTTAGTTCAACGTTCCGCGGTGTGAGGTGAGATTCAGGGGCTCCTCCTCGACCACCTTTGACCCCCTAACCGCCCCTCATACCCGCGGAAGAGTACCTCATCCCCGCTGAGTCTATCTACAGAGAGAGACAGAGAGCTACAGAGGCGTGCTTGGGCTCAAAGGAACCGAAACAAAAAGTCCCACAAAACTACCCCGAGGAAAATAGCGAACGCCAATTTATTACGTAAAATTATTGCCCGTAAACCGACTTTACAGACAACCAATTTTTTTTGTTCCATAGTAGTCTCAGTTATCATATCATGCATGACTTATTTTATGGCATTTTATGAGTCACACAGTTTTTTTATCTGTTAATGCAAATATTCAGAGTTCCCCTTATTTTTTTATTTTATTTAAGACTTTATCAAATGAGATAACAGTTTTCCACAATATTGAGATTGATATTTCTAACAAATTGAGTGATCTATAAATCAAGGTCGTTTCGGTTTTGAACGCTCCTCGGCGGCAGGTTATGCAACGTCGGTCGCCAATTCAATCAGCGTGTCGCGTGCGCACGTTTGGCAGCCGCTAGTATCACCAGTGAATACGACTAGACGAACGTTGCGATCGCATCACAGATATGTGAACGTATCGGATTATTAAAGATTTTATCTTTTCAATAGCAACAATCGTTTCTTTACAGTTTGATAACACACACACATATGCTGCTTATCGCATATGTTACATTCGACTGACCTCCGCATTCTACCGGCGCATAAGTCATTTCTGTCTAGACACAGAATCAAAGTATTTAATAAATAATAACCATGGTTTTATGGACTCTAGTGTTGGTGACTACAGTGTTTGTGGGGTTAGTGAAGGTGTATCAGAAACTGACATGCGGATTTTGCAAGTCCAGTGCTCATATGGTCGGAAAAGTGGTGATAGTGACTGGCGGGAATTGTGGTCTGGGCTTGGAAACGGCTAAAGATTTGGCTAATCGTGGTGCGCGTGTGATTCTCGCATGCAGAAGTGTGGCCAAAGCGAACGCGGCCGTCGAGAAAATCACCAAAGAAACTGGCAACACCGACGTGCACTTCAGACAGCTGGATCTAACTTCATTGCGGTCTGTCAGAGAGTTCTGTGCGAAAATAGTAAAAACGGAGAAACGCTTGGATGTTCTAATTAACAACGCCGGGGCCGGCGGCCTCGGCAATCACGTGACGAGCGACGGCATCCATGTAGGAATGCAAGTTAATTATTTCGCACCGTTTCTATTAACATGCTTGCTAGTTCCATTGATGAAATCTTCAGCACCTTGCCGTATCGTGAACGTGTCCTCGATGATCCACAAGTACGGTGAACTCGACTTCGAAAATTTGAACATGGAAAAGTATTGGAGTGACTATTTGGTGTATGCGAACAGTAAACTGTTTCTTAATTTGATGACTTTAGAATTGAGTGACAGGCTCAAAGGTACGGGAGTGACAGTTAATGCGTTGCATCCCGGCGTATCTGCTACTAACATATTCAGGAATATCCCCAGTGACTTTCTACGTAAGATCATTGAAAAAGGTATATCTTTTATGTTCAAGAGCCCCTGGGAAGCATCACAGACGGCCATATATCTAGCTGTCGCGCCGGAGCTGCGGGAAGTTACCGGGAAATATTTCGTCGACTGCTGGGAATCGAAACCTTCAAAACTCTCGTTGGATAAAGAACAAGCTAAGAGATTATGGGACGAATCGGAAAGATTAGTGAAATATTCTTTTTCAGACAGCTAGCATACTGGGGTAATCTCTACCGACCTATTTTTGGTAGTCTGTTAGATTTTTATGTTGGGGTCCTATTAGATTTTTAATATTTAATTTATATATAAATATTTTTTATGACTATGATGGTGGTAAAACTTGAGATCTTTAATAAATGACAATTGTTTTTCTTTTTAATAATTTATACATAGTTTTATAGTTATGATAAAATTTGGATTACGTATCGCCAAATAGGTATTAGGGAATCGTTAATTAAACAGTGGAAAAGAAACTACTTATTATTTTATTGTAAACAACTGTCTGTAGATATTTTTCGTACAGAGATATCAAATCGATTCATTCCTTTTTTCACAATCCGCAAATGGAATGCTTTGCCCGCTCACGTGTTCCCTCCCTCCTACAACCCAGAATCCCTTTTAAAGAGGCGAGAAGAAGCAGAAGAATATGCGGGCCGGCAAAAAATTTTAAACATACATTTTTAAATATTCAGAAACAAAAAAAGGTATTATATAAAATCATTATGGTATGAATGAATTTATAAATTAAATTCCTGCACCTAAATTATATATTTCTAATAAAATTATCACAACCAGGAATAGCAACAGGATGTGGCCAACGGACTCTTTCCTTCATTTTGTTATCATTCACTTTACCGTCACTTATTTTTATAATATTTTTTGAATTGTTCATTATTACGTAAAGTAAGTATACTTGCATCCAATGTCATGACGTGGACTATAATATATCTGGAGTTCTAAAGGTCTGTTGTAAACTGTGCTTTAGTTAGTTAGATCAATACACAATAATTCAAGAACGTTAACAAAGTACATTTTCTGAATGACATGGCTGTTTTAAATGACGTCTGATGCGTTCTTATAGATATGTTTCTATGTATGTATTAGGTACCTTAATCTAATATTAATTGGGTTTTAGTTTAAGAAAATATGTGAAAATTTATCATACCCCATTAACTACGTAACAAGTGAGTCTAAACTTTAGAAAAAAACACAGAAATCAGTTCTTTACCGGTTATTTGCAGGAAAACCTACAAGAATAAAAATGGTATGTAACATAGGCAAGTAAGTACTTGTTTCGTTAGGTTCTACTTACAAACCAGTTAGGATGAGATTAAAAAATAAAAATAATGAACCAAAAATAGGTACCTTATCAAGTACGGGATATCTTTACCTTTTGAGATGGAGACGAATGTTTTGGCGATAGAGTTTGTTACGGCCCTGATTTAACGAGGCAGTTGTAAATAGCAGTTTAAGTAAGTTAAAAATTTATAAATGGCACGTTTAATAACTAGTTCACCAGTTAAAACTAAGAAGAAAAGTAAACAAAAATGTGTAATAAAAAATATTGAAATGGGTCAGTGAATATATATCTGAGCAGGAAAATAATTAAATGGGCGGTAAAAAACATTGATCGAGCGGTTACGTGTCGAATGTAATTAATCGGAATTTGTCGGTAAGAAATCTCATTCTAAGCAATTCTATAAACAATCAGGTGGTAAAATAAAATAAAAAAAACGATAATGAAAATTTTTATTACTTTTACTTTGACTGAAGGAATTAAATAAAATAAATTGTATAATAATAATATGAACTACTATTCGTAATTCGAAACATACTTAAGTAATTAAAATTACATAGAATTTGCTTCGTAGCAGCTAAAATAATCTTATTGTATAATAAGAGCAGGCCACCCGCGCTAATAAGCTCCACCTAACTAACGAAAAATTACCTCTGTTTTCAATAATTTTGAGTTCGGGTGTCACAGCTCGCTATGATCTGCCGAACTATTTTTCGAACCGCTCATTCCATTATTTTTACCGCTCATTCAGTTATTGGACAGCTCAACTATTTTTAGAATTGACATTGTATGACAAAATATCAGACTAATTGTTTTTTTATTACTGTCCATGTTTTACTGTCGCAATAATTAATCAACCGCCATTAAGTACATTAAATAACTGCTCAATATGTTTTTCAACTGAGCATAATAACATCTCGAATAATTAAATAACAGCAAAAAAAATTAGGTAGCGTTTTTTACTATCTAAAGATATTAGAAAAACTTCAATGCAGGAAGTGCAGGAAGTACAACACCAGGTCACTTACTATCTAATTAATCTCTGTTGTGGCTCCTGGGCCACAGCACTCTGCCTTGCATCGATCCCTGGTAGAAATTATAGAATTAATAAACGAGACGCCTGTAAATTAGCCTATTGCAACAGCGTGATTATTAATTGATACACTACTTTGCCAGTAAATAAATGCAAGGCATTCAATGGGTATATTGGCATTGGCATTTTGACAACCAAAAAACAATCAGTTCAGGAACTGTAGATCATATTGCGTTATGTTATTACGGTTTAGATGCATAATATTAATTACAGATTTTGTGCAAAAAAAACCCTTTGCAATAAGTACGAGTGAAGTGAGTGTGAAGAAAGTGGAGGGGTTCCATACTTACGTTAAAACTCGTTTGGTGCTATAAGGGAGAACCTTTTAAAACAGAACTTTTTTACCTTCTAAATCACTAAGTAGTACATCTAGCATAAATTTCGTAAAATCTTCGCACTATTTTTATTAATATTGTGTTGGAAAAAGAGTGAAACACAAAGAAAGATTTGCGAAAAAAAGTTTTTATGTATAAGACACTGGCCGCTAGAAATTTTTTTGAAAACTTCGATTATTGAAAATTAAAAATACCTACCACTGTTCGATTTTAAATTTTCTCTCCGCATTTTTTCGAGAGCCATTAAATTTTTCTTGTGTCATTAAAAATTAATCTGCATCGAGAACATGGTGCTATTAATTTTTAAGATTTTAAATGTAGCTTAAAACCTGATGAGTCATTTGATCGATTTTGAACTGCTTTTATGGAAGAAGGACCTTCAAAAGCAACCATCTACCGCTGGTGTAGCGAGTTCAAACGCGGTTGTCTTTGGGGGGTGAACAAAGGAGTGGTCGTCCTACGACGGCTGTCACCGAAGAAAGTGTGCTGACAGACCTGACGTAAAAAATTTAATTCAAGAAAACAGACGAATTACGTACGACGAGATTCAGCATAGGTACTCTGCATTTTCATTCAGGAAGTGTTCACAAGATTTTGCACGAGCACCTTTGCGTAAGGAGTATAGTATCCCGCTGGGTGCCGCACAACCTCACCGAAGCTCAGATGCACGCCCGTGTGCATTGGTGCAGTGATATGATACAAAAATTTGATGCAGGTTCATCACGGCGCGTTTACGATTTTGTGACAGGTGACAAATCTTGAATTTATCAATACGATCCAGAAACAAAGCGTCAGTGGACAGTTTGGCAGTTTCAAAATGAACCAACACCTACGACAGAGAAGCGATCGAGAAGCGCAGGGAAAATTTTGTTCGCTAGTTTCTTCACTTTGACGGGGTACCTAATTTCAATTCCACTTTGAGACGAGACATGACAGCATCAACGCCGAATGATATAGCACAAAATGCCGGCCAAAAGTTTTTTCTGCAATGAGCAACAAGCGACCTAACACCAGGCTCCACGGGGTCCTTCTTCATCACGACAACGTGCGCACTCTATGATCGAAACGAAGGACTTTCTGGACTCCACACCAGTCAGAGTCTTGGGACACCCTCCTGATAGTCCTGATTTGGGTCCATGTGACTTCCTTTTATTCCCTAAAATAAAAAACCAGCTCAAAGGTATACATACAGTTTTCATCGCCGGAAGAAGCGCTAGCAACGTTTGAGAAGGCCGTGGAAGAGGTGTCTGCGGAGGAAGTTAGTTTTTTAGTTTCTCAAAACATTTTAAGTGTCCCATCCCACGTTATTATGTAGGCCTAAGCATTGCAAGAAAAGTTTCCAAAGCCAAAAGTACTTACACTTATATTTATATAATTGGCTTAATTAAATCGGACGCCGAACGAGAGTACCTACAGTAAGTGTATTATGTATTTTCATCAGGATGGACAACTTTTTATAAAACTCATTTCTGAAGTAAACACCTTTAAACTTTCACGAGAACTCCGCAAATAGCAATAAAGTTGATTGCTCCGTTATATGCTGAAAGCTCTGTTTAACATATAATTACAGGGGCCTAATTAGTATCAGTTAACAAGTGTATCAATATTATATGCAGCTGCAGTGAGACCACGTTATTAACGTTGAGCGCGGCATGGCGTTAAATTGAAATAATTCTGAGCTCGGTCGCGGCCGCGGCAACCATTTTGTTTGGCCGTAAATCACGCGAGTGTAAGTACGTCTGATTTACAGGACTATTTCCTGACATTTACATTGTTTGCCAATTAAGTTAACTCTAGATTCTCCCTAAGAGTATTTTCCGAAGTGACACAAATTGTGTTACAAAGGCTTTGATCAAAATCCAAAAAGGAGCTGTCTTTCGATGAATTTGCTAAGACCTGTTTAGTTATTAATCAGTTTGAAGGTCCTTACGTTGCAGAGTATATTGAGTAGAGACTATTTTGGCTATAATTTTGCAGGCCTGTGTAATTTATTACCTACGGTAAATATATTTGTTGTTATGACCAATAATGGCCTGCGTAGACGACGGAGGAGTTTCTTTACGATTCAGGGACTTTGTCCGTGGAGGACAAAAGTACCTGAATCGTAAAGCATAAGTCCGCCGAGGACATGTCATTGTCACGGACTCAACGCACACGATGTGCGAACAATTTTTTTTAGAAAAGAACCCCGTACATTTCGAAAAGCGTGCGTTGTGGAAGTAAATATTCTCAGATTACGTTCTGTTGTAATTGAAATGAAGTTTAAGACAAAGAGAACACGTTTTAAAAAATAGTTTGGGCCCATTAGTAGTCATTTCGTGAGAAATATAGTAGTTACCTGGAAAGTTGTCCGCGAGTTTTTAAAATCGGTAATTTTATAAATTTTGAGGTGTTCTTTCCGAATTTTGACTTTGCTACCTCGTATTTTTGTCACTCACGCCGCCATATTGGAAATATGGCGCCTAAAAGCAGTTTTTTGACAATATCTCCTTTCCAATAAAGACAGTTAATACAAAATAAGACTAGAGGCAATTGCCTACAATTTATGTATCT